AATTAATTTGGGGTGCCAAAAATAATTTGGATTTGGGATTTGGGATTGGGATTTGGGATTTGGGATTTTGGCATTTGAATTTTGAATTTGGGTGGCAGGTATAATTTGGAATGTTTGCCATACCAAGCTTTTTGGTAAACCTTTTCAATGGTTCCTCAATTGGATGAGTGTGTCCCTCACCCATGAGCTTATCTGCCAATTTATTATTTCCTATATCAAAATGTGCTTTACCTTGACCATGTGTAGTTAAACTGTTTGTATTGTTAATAATTCATTGATTGCCTTGAGTAAGGTCCAGTTGTTGAATTTTCTGTGTACTTTTTTGGATTAATTCAGGGTATCAATTGCAGTTTTGCTATCTGTAATATATTGTATGTACTGAGTGTTTCAAAGTAGCGTAGAAGAAAGATCCATATTTTTTTGGAATGTGGATATTTCTTCATGCATTAGTATTTTCAATGGCTTTTCAATGCATTTGGTCTCTCTTTATTTGCAGGTTCAGCACTTGTTTTGAGCCATGATTTTATATCCAGTATGTAGAAATTTAATTTCAATGTGTCGAGCAACTTCTTTGAATGGGATAATTCCTTTTAACAAAAATATCGAATTTCATTGATTGGCCAATTTTATTCTTTACGATTATACACATAGTATCACATTGGGTTAATTTTTGGGAACTCGCCAGGAGGCTTTGTAATGTGGCTTGAGACTACCGATTATGTGATGTCAATTTATTCTTTGCTATGGAAAATAGAAGATGTAAAAATTTTAATCAGTTTTGGCATTTTCACTCATTTGTTCATTCCATTCTTTGCCACGTAATCTTCCATGGTGCATTCTGTATGATAGCCACTCTATTGTAAAGATATTGCAATATTGGATTGCTTCAGATGTAATTTATACTGGTGAACGAATTCTCAATGAAATGAGAGCACGTCACAAAACTTACATTTCAAAAGTAGTTATGCATCCATCATGAGTAGTAGAAATTCAAATTGACAACCACCAAGGCAGGACAATATATCTTTTTATGCTGTCCTGAAGCATCATATTGAGAATGGTATCCATTTACCTTAATTTTGCACCTGAAGAAGATTTTATCTCTGTGCATATTCGTATTGTTGGTGATTTTACAGAAGCACTCGATAAGAAACTTAGATGTTATTTTGATAAAGAAAATAAAGAGAATAAAGGTCCTCAAGTTATGATTGATGACAATTTGATAACATGTCGGAATATTGTTTTAAATTTGAAGTGGAAATATTGATTGGTGCAGTACACCATTCGCAAGCATTTTGAAGGGTATTTGGTATTTATGATTTATTTATACATATATATATTTTTTAAAATAATATTCCTACTTCTTCTGGATTTGCCGTTACTATGAAGTAAGTTTTTATTAATTACATTAATTTTTATTATGACGAATGGTTTCAATCTTTATTATTAGCCACTGAAGAACAAGATCAATTTATTAAAATCCTTTCATATCTAGCTAGTCATCTGCGTCGTCATTCCGAAGTAAGAAACATATTAGTAAATGATGAAGTCAAGATACCATCATATTTTGATCATCCAAATTTGTCTCTAATATGAGATATCAATATCCCGCAACAGATGTGGAAGTGTTTTGCGGACCAAAACCATTAGGCAAACAACTTCATGAAAAATATAATTTGTGGAATTAAGGATTAATGATGACACCAGATTTTTCTATGGAAAAGGTTTGTAAGAATTTTATAGTATTATTTTTTTTGTTTATAATTAACATTTTATATCGTCTCGTTATTTTCTCTCTATTTTCTCTCTTTCTTAAAAAACATTACACAAAATTTCTAAATAATACTTTTGTCATAAAAGCGTAAAACAATTAGAAAATTTATCAATATTAAATTGTAATTTAAATCAATTTATTTTTTTTCATTTTTTTTTTAAATTATTTAAGATCAGGAATTTTTGAAATATAAATTTATTCAAATTTTATTTTCAAAGTTCATTGTGAAAATTAATCTAAAAAAAATAACTTTTATAAAAATAAATACAGTAATAAAATAAATCAATAAAAAATTAAACTAATTCTTTAAAAAAGTTCTTATAAAAACTTATATATACTGTATACAAAATATATATCCGCAGTGCGTTCAGATATCTAAAGTTACAAGAGTGGTACCGTTCCATCCACAATTCTCTTTTCCTGGATCAACAAAAAAGATAATACCTCTATCATTTGGTGCTTCCAATTTATTATGAAGAAATTCTGAAAGTTTTTTTGATATTTCTTTATTATGTTCTAAACCAAGTGTAAAAACACTTTTGATTCTAGTAATATAAGCAGGAGCGTTGGTGCCACCAAAATAAAGAGATTCACAGTCTTCAAGAGAGGCTAAAATAAAAGATACAGGTTGACTAAGAAGTTCTGCGGCCAGAGCGCTTATTTCCGAGAGGAATTCATGATGGTTTGGAACCTTTTTATTATTAATGTGTGTAAGTGCATATATAATTTTTCTGAAAAGAAATACACAATTTGTTAATAAAAAAAATATCATATGTATACCTTGACATTTGTTTTTACTTCGATAAGTGGCATTTTGATATCGTTGAGAAAGAATCAAAAATCATCAGCTTATAAATAGAATTCATTCTCATCATCTGAATGATTTCTTTCATTATAACAAAAAAATGATTTATTCATTATAACAATAAAAATGATTTATTTCATTATAAAAATAAAAATGATTTATTTCATTATAACAAAAAATTTATTCATTATAATAATAAAAATGATTTATTTCATTACTCGTTGCGAAGATTTTACTAATCTAATCTTACCATCGCACAAAAGTGTTACGCCATGCAAAATAATAGATAAAAAATTTATATGTTACACATGAATTTTCGTATTCATTATAACAATAAAGATGATTTACTATTTATTATTCATTATAACAATAAAATTGATTTATTATTCATTCTAACAATAAAAATTATTTATTTATTTGAGATTCTAGCGGATTCTAATTTAGTTAGTTCTTTATAAAAGTTAGATAAAATAAATGCAGGCTAAATCTAATCTTTGTCTAAATTTATTTTCATTATTTACTATTGTTGAATTTGTTAATTGAAGCAGTATAATATTCTTGCAGAGGAATGACATTAATTAATAGAATCAAATTTGTTTCTTAATTATCTTTCCACAACGCATTAGTTGATAGACAAGTACCCCTTGATGTATCAAGATCGTCGGTTGTTATATCTTTTCGTCTCGGGTTTTTATTTATGAAATAAAATTATTACCTATACCCTATATAATATATTTCATATTTATAGAATAAATAAATGAATTGATTGCCCCCATATTCATTGCTGCTATGACTAATGCAAATTTCCAAGCAACTTCGTTCTATGATAAATAATAAATTCAAAATTATAATTGAATTTTCTTCACTATAAATCTATGAATTATAATTATAATCTTTATTTAAAAAGAAATTATATAAATTTACCACCCATTGAACAATATATAACTTGAAATTTTTTTATGGCCCTAACTTCAATTTCGGAATGTATATAAGATATGATCAAAGTTTCTGTTTCAATATTGTTATTATCAAATGCTTTTCTTTTATTTATTCTTATTGTTAGAATAACGGTTATTGTAAGTAAAATAAAGCATTGATTTTTAAGTATAAAAAACAAAAGTTTTAAAACTTTTTTTTTTTTTTTTTTGAAATATTTATTATATATTTAGGTGATGAGAATTTTTACAGTTCAAAAAAACTATGAGAATCATATGCTTCTCAAATAAATTATTTAATTTATCATGTTTCAAGAATATAACTTAATGATTATTTACTTACAATTAATTTTTTTTCAAAAAAACTTGGATCATGAAAGTTTTAGTATAATTTTAAAAAAAAATTAACTTAAGATTAGAATGTCTATTTTTTTTTTATCTGTGATTCAATAAGTCAAGTTTTGTGACTGGTGGTTTCCATTTGAAAATTCATAATAAAATTTGATTCTGTGTGCATAAAAAAACACTTTTTTTTATATAATCACACTCATTATAATCACATCTTTATATAATCACACTTTTTGTGAGAACCAATGCATAGTAAAGCTTATAAAAATCGCTATATAATTATATAATCACAATTTTTCATATGGCCAATTTTGTCTTCATTCGATTTTGTCACATAAAATTTAATTTTTTAAATGATTATTGTTAATACAATAAAATAACAAGTCAGCAATGCTGATCAAAATTAACCATAAAACTTGATGATCTAATTTTTTTCCATGTTTCTTTGCGACGTCAAAGAACATATTTGGAATTGGTTTTCGAATCAGTTGGAATCGCATTTTAATTAAATTACCCATTCTTAATTTATATAATTAATAATTATTAAGAAATATTATGTATTTTTTAGGATATTTATATGAAAAAAAAGCTTCTTCTAAACTTATAGAATATAGATATCAAAAGGTTTGAAGGTTTTAACACTTAAAAAATAAGTAATAGATTGAAATACATTGATTATTAATCTTAACTTTATAGATTTTAAAGAGTAAAATAAATAGATATTGAATATAAACACATATATAACAATGATGTATTTTTAATGAAATAAAAATAAATTATTTTTTAAAAAAATATTGATGCTTTATTTTTAATAAATAATTATTATTTTGTTATTTCATTTGTTTATTTCTATTAAATCATACTAATATCAATTTATTTTTTCAGACGTCACATATGTGATGTAAAATATTGAATCAGCCCACATGTTATAATCATCAAATTTACTGGTCCCGAATGTGTGATTATAGAGAGACCCGACTGTACGTATGAAAATAAATCTATGTATCCATAAAATGTTCATTCGTATATTATTAGTTTGGTTATTTTGTTATTGATAAATGCAAGAAAAAATGGTAAATAAAATATATTGAAAAATGTCTAAATACACAAAATGAACATTAATATAAATTTACTAAATTTAAATATGAATAGATCAAGATTCATTATTATCAGATTTATTTGTATTATCATAATGATAAGTATTTGTAGTCAAAGGTTCAATAGAAGCAACTAGGATCTTAAACTTAGGCTTGAAAATTCATACTCATGGAAATTTTTATAATGTCTTGTTCTAGAAGAAGCCCAGTCCCTTTTTCTTTATCTCTTTGTTGACATTTTATGCAAGTACATAAAATTTGGATTAACATACTTTGTTAATTATAATTGAATTTTATATTAAAAAATAAAACGGGAAAATAAAAAACTATCTTATCATTTGATCGAAATTAGAAAATTAATAAGCAACCACATGACCAAAAATATACTGTTACTAAAAAATTTGCTTAGTTTTTTGTTGTTCAACCTGAAAATATCACTTCACTTTGCCCTTTGTGTTTTCAACCCTAAGTTGATAACAAATCCTAAATTTTATTTGTACTTCCTTAGCAGATTTCAAGTATTTTGAAATGTTATTATTTTCAAACTGTTTTTAAATAATCTAAATAATCTGTGCTTTATTTTTTTCTGCTCTGCTTCAGTCAATTTTGAAACTGGCAAGTGTCTGAATTCTTAGAATTGTTGACTTATTTATTTAATAAAATATAATGTTTCAATTTATAATAATTTATATAATTTACTATAGACTAAAATAAACATATATTATTTTAATAATATAATACTATGAGATAGTTAATGTAAATAGAAAAACGAATAAAAATAAGAATAGGATATACTGTAAACGTTTTTAGAACATACCCATTATTTAATTATAAGATAGTGATTATTCATATAAACAAATTTTTTTAAACAGAAAAAATCATATACATGTTATTTATACTTTATTTCATTGTTATCCGAAAATTTTCAAACTAAAAGTTCTTTATGAATGAAAAAATTTCGTATCTTTTCTTTGGAAGGCATTTCGAAATTCATTATGAATTTCCAAAAACGTGTTTATATACAACCGACCGCTATCCAAATTTTCTATCGGGCTTAAAAAATTCACGTGTACTATTAATGGCTTAGAATTTTTTTTGTTTAAGCGAGATAATGGCTTATTAATTTCGAATCCGATAAATTTTCACTTAACTAACCAATGTACCAATTTTATTTTATATAGAAAAAGGAAAAGGACATAATTTAATATATTTATGTATTTTATTTTTTCCTTTTGGTTCTATTAAATTACGACTCGTTAAGACCGACTTAAATTTAATTATTTTACTATTTACGTTATAATTCTTTTTTTTTATTTTTTTTTATGATTAAATAAGAATAAGGCTTATACTACATTTTTAATAAAAGATTTTGCTTAGATGAATAAATAGGCTCAACTCTAAATAGATATATAAAGACATCATCATCTTCGTGTGAGCACATTGGATTTAATATTGGGCATTACTCCATTAACATTATCCAGCATACATTTTTTCCACATAAATGATTCTATGAATTAGGAATAACATTATAATAACGAGAAATAATGAATGAATAAATAAATAAAGTAAATGAAAATTATGTTTTATGTGAAAGAAATAGGAATTATGTTCAAATAAACTGCAAAGCCTTTTTTTAAGCCTCTGAAAACCGTGCCACGAAAAAAAAATCCAAATGATCGAATGATTTTTTTTTTTACTTTTATTTAACGCGAAAAAAAAGAAAATTTGTAATTACAATTTCTTGACGAAAAAAACTTTTTTTTTCGTGCGTGAATAATGAAAGCCAGATTATTATTATTAATTTTTAACATCTTTTTGATATTCTTTATTTCTTTTAGTCAAACATCACCAATTTTCCAAAGATCAACAGACGTATGTACAAAATGTAAATCTTATGTTCCTACCAGTCCTCTGAATTCCGAAACTGCTGAACTCCGAGAATGTCTTTCCTATATTAATGGAACAATCGTTTATCGTAACAATGATACTTATTATGAAAGTATTAAAGAATGTAATTGCAGAATTATGGTTTATCCTCTAGCGATAATTTACGTTAATAATACTAAAGATATTCAAGAAGTAGTAAATTGTGGTAATTTACTTAATATTACAGTAGTAGTACGTTCTGGAGGGCATTCATTTGAAAATTACAGTTTAGGTGGAAAAGATGGAGTTTTAATTATTGATTTAAAAAATTATAATAAAATAACTATTGATCCCATCGCTCAGACAGCGGTTGTTGGAGCTGGTAATAGAATTGGACCTGTTTATTACACATTAAATGAAGCCGGATTTTTATTTACAGCAGGAAGTTGTCCAAGTGTTGGTGTGGGTGGTCAAACAACTGGTGGTGTAAGTATAACATATTATTTCACGCACGAATTCATATCTAATATATTTCTGATATATTTCACACATATTGTTTCACATTATAGGGATATGGTTTTATTGGACCAAAATATGGAATGGCTTCAGATAATATATTAGCAGCTGAAGTAGTATTAGCAAATGGTACAATATTACCTGTAGTCGATAATTCTACACATTCCGATCTTTATTTTGCAATTCGTGGTGCAGGAAATGGAGGATTTGGAGTCATAACTTTAATTACCTTTCAATTATATTATATTCCTCCAGTAATGACATGGTTTAATCTTTCATATGATATCGCTGGACGCCAAAATGTTTTCGATGCTTTTAATGAATGTGGTCCAAAATTGGCCGAAAACTATTCTTTATATATGACCTTTTTACCTAATACATTTGATAAAAATAATTCATGTCAAACAAAAGAAGACTATACGTTATGGAGTTTTGGAACATTTTTAGGTGAAGAAATTGAAGCTCGTAAAGGATTAAAAAATTTTATAAATCATTCCGCTCCAATAATAGAACCTTATTTTAATCAAACAACTTGGTGGGAAACTCTTGTACAATTTGCTGCTAAGGAAGGATCTTCTGATGCATTAACTAATCCAAGTTTTGATCCTGAACCATTCAAGGCTAAATCATTTTTCGTTGATCCTCCTGGTTTATCGTACGAAGGTTTAGAAGTACTTTATAATTTTATTAATTCTGTAAAATGTAAAATTGTTGTTATGTTTGAATTATATGGTGGGGGGAAGGTAAATAATATCAAACCAGATTTAACCGCTTTCATGCATCGACATTCATTAGCTTTGTTACAACTAGAAATGAAATTAGCTGGTTATGATCAGGAAGTAGTTGATGAATGTTTAGCAGAGTTTAAAGTATTTGGCGAAGAATTTCAGGATAAATATACATCTTATTATAGTTATCAGAATTATATAGATAGAGAATTAAAAGATTGGCAACATCGTTATTATGGAAATCATTTTGAAAAATTAGTAAAAATTAAAGCGAAATATGATCCCAATAATTTATTTAATTGGGACCAAAGTATTCCTACCAGTTATTAACAGTTAATAGAATAAAATCGATTCACGTATATTATAATTGCTTATAACTTCTTTGTAATGTTTACTCTCAACAAAAATAATAAAACAATGACACGTGTATTATTCTTAATTATAATTTTATTTTATTAAATTTGTTTCAAATTTATATGTATTATTATTATTGAATAAAAAATTCAATCCTATTCCTAATAATGTATATTTAATGTATTAAAAACTGTTGGTTCATAGATTCGATTTTTGGGATAAACTTCAATTGTTGGAATAATTGGTAAGAATGAGATTCGTTGATAATTTTGATGATAATGTCGAAGGTGTTGTTATTGTTGTTATTAAAATTTTAGGTTTTTCTGAATTAGAATTATGATTCTAGAATTAATTTTAATTTTGGTCCTATTGCTCCAAAATTTTTCTTTCCTACAAATTTAATTGTTTGTAAATTATTTTCGCCAGGGTATTGTCGATAAGTCAATAAGAAATCTGATGTATTCATATAACTAGATTGACGAACGTACTTATCGAACTAAAAACTTTTTTCTCATAATATTACATCTTTCAATATTTCTTAAAGGTAAAAATCCTAATGTTTTATATGTTTCAGCTATTTTTATCACAAATTTTATATTGGGACATTTTATAAATGTTTGAACAAATTTATTAATGGATGAAATTTGGATCAAAAATTATTTCTTGAAAACCATAAAATATCATTGATGAATTTCCAGTAAGCATTGTTCCAGTAACAGTTGAATTAAACGTGATGTAAGTTCAGTTGCTAAACTTGGTTTTAGTAGTTTTAGTAGAATCTTGTGATAATGGTTTCCAAGAAGTAATAACCCTAAACCATGAGTAATTTCATTCAAGAAAACAAATTTCAATTTTATTACCAAATTAACACTCGCATTAAATACAGCATCGACGTAGAAAGATATGTGTAGTCATTAATTGATATACTGTATATATTTTATATATTACTGACTAGCATTAATTTTAATTTGAGTATTCAATATTAATACGTTAGATTCACTTGCACGTTGAAATTATTTATGACAAGATCACGTGTTTGAAAAATGGTAGAAATAGTTAAACTAGTTAATTGAAACTTTTAAGTCTGGATTTAATGGGTCAAATAAATTAGTACATTCTGCTGCTACTTTTAAATTAACTATCATATACACTTAATATATAAAATGAATTAAGTTCCATTTTTTTTTGAAATTATCTCAATTGATTAGAGTGAATCAAAGAATTAGTTAAAGAATTAGAACGAGAATTAGAGAGGGATGAAGAATTAAACTTTCAATGAAAATCAAATAAAATCTTTTCAATCAAATTTATGATAAAAAATAAAGTGGAACAAATAAGTCACCTGATAAATCTTAAAAAATTTTAATCTTTGATAAAATCATGAATATATAAAACATATAAAGAACATAAAATATAGATATATAAAGAATATGTAAATCTTATGAAATCTTAATAAATATACTATAATCCATAATTAAAATAAATTTAGTAATTATCAAACAAAATACATTTTATTCAAAATAGAATTCCTAACAATTTCACACTGCCCATTTCTCACTTTTGGTTTTTCAGTAGGTGACATATCTCCACCACCACTACTTCCTCCTCCACCACCTCTACCACCTCTTTGACCTCTACCACCTCTACCACCTCTTTGACCTCTACCACCTCTTCCTCCTCTTCCACCACGACCACCAAATCTTTCTTCTGGTATTACATCCCATTTCATGAAATGTTTAGCTTGATTAGCAACATGATGCGCATAATGAACAGGTGTAACGTGAGATATCGAAAGATTACATCTGTAAATTAATAAATTATTTATAGTGATCAAGATTAAAATTTTAAATTAAATTATGGTTGTTAAAAATTATAAATAATAATGTAAATTTAAAATATTAATTACCTCGAAGATAAAAAGCAAAGTTTATATGTGAGTTCATGAATTTCATCTGCGGTAAAGTTACCTTCATTTAGAATGACATGATAATAGGTAGATCTAGCTGTTCCAAGTGGACTTGCATGACTCTGTAAAACTATGATTAAAAGAATGTTATTATATTCATTATTATTATTTTATTATCTATTATATTCATTATATTCATTATAGTCATCGATTTATAATAAAATATTATAGAAAATCACTCACAGAATGTAAAATATTGAGGAACAACAATTCCTGTATCAACTACGGTGCCAGGTTTACAATTACCACCGTTGGGATCCGCATCCTCAGAGTTAACGGGTACAAATCTATACATATAGGAAAGAAATTAAATAAAGCAAAAATTAAATTAAATCAATGATGTAAAATAAAAAACAAAAATAAAAATAATTACCTTGCATGATGTCTCTTTTGTACAATTAAATATGTTAATCTTGGTGGATCTTTGGATCCATAAACTTCTTTAAATACTTCTTTCATGACAGAAATTTCTTCATTAATAACCATTTCGAATTGACCTTCGGCCACACCATCACGATAAAATATAATTTGGTCAGGAAGTGCCCCATTATTTTGTTTTTCAAATTCTATAAGTAATTCTTTAGTCATATTATCCATTCTTTCTATGGTTTCATTGTTTAACGTTCTGTTCATATCGTAACGTGCCACGTATTTTGTAACTTCGGGATTCATTGAGGCACAAACAGCAGCAACACTAGGACGACCTTTTTTCTTATCCTCTTTACTAGGATGAAAAACATCTGCACCAAAAACCATTGACTAAAAAAAAAATTTTAAATAATTACTTCCTCATATTTCTCATGCGGTGATCAACTGAATTCATAATTTAAGCTTTAATAAATATTCATTAAAAAACTTACTGTTTTAGCAGTCTTAAATTTTAATTCTTTATTAATCAAAGTTGAATTAACACCACCCAATTTTCCATTAATTTTAAGTGCTAAATTAGAACAAATTTGTCGCCATTTAATATCTAATTTCATATTCGAAGCTACAATGCATTGAGTGATTACTCCCAATTCAACTCCACAAATCTTTTTAATAATTGGATGAATTCCCGAATCTCCTTTTGTCTTCTTTTGAACGACACAAATAATCAACTGTGGTGCACGTGTCTTGTCTTTATAAGCATTATTTGAACCTATTTGAAGTGACTAAACGAAAAATAATAATTTAAATTGATTAATTAAATTAATAATTAATTAATAATATTAATTATAAATAATATTATATATTTATATATATAAATTTAAGTTTAGATAAACTCACTTTTTCGTAATCTCCTTGAGGATTGGCATAATAAATGGAAGGACGATTATTTTGTACATTCTAAAAGTTAATAATAGACAATAAACGATAATATTTAGTAATTATAATTAATTATATTATATTAAAATATAATAAAAATTCACTTACAATTCCTTTATGTGCTAATGCTTCCATTAATTGAATTAATGCATTTTGTAATAATTGTTTAGGTAATTCTTTAATATCTTCAAATACAACTACTGACCAATTATAGATATCACATCCCTTGACAAATTTTTTAACCTCCCAATTATTACTAGAATCTGGAATTATTTCTTCTTTATCTCGATCAATTAATTTGGGGGGTGGAAGTAGTCGCGCTAAAATAATAAATGAATAAATAATTAAATAATAATAATAATAATAAATGAATAAATAAATAAATAATAAAATACCTTGAATTCTAATAAAATCTTTATCAATTTCCATTCCAATTGATGCTAAATTTTCATCAGATTGATGTTTATAGATTGTTTGTGATGCTTTTCTCAAAGCATCAAATCTGTCATTAGGATGAATCGCTGTCTTTTCAATCATAGCTTTACGTTGAGCTGAATTAAGGATATCTGTCCCATATTTCTGGCCTAAATTACAATCAAATTCGAATATGAAATATGAATATGAAATATAAATATGAAATATAAATATTAAATATAAATATGAAATATAAATATAAATATAAATATAAATATAAATATAAATATATAAATATTAAATATTAAATATTAACCTGTTATAATTTCACAAACTTCTAACGGTAATAATATATCATCTCGTTTGGGTTTCTTCACCACAACGCATGGTAATAAAGGAAATTCCAATGCTGCTATATGATCTCTATAATATTGTGAAACACTAATTTGTCCCTTTCCTTCTAAATAAAATCTACATTCGTCAGCTGATTTATCTGTTATTCTATCTATTTTATGACATGGTTTCATTCCTCTATCCCCTCGTGATGAGTTAGTAGTTATACTCAATCCATTTATAAATTTTTGAAGACATATAATTTCCCGTCTAGACAATCCTCTTCTCAAATCATTCTTCGTTCTCATTCCCGGACTCTCAACATCCGCAATAATATAAGGAATAATATCAATTAAATTTCCTGATGGATAATATGTGGTTGCGCATATATCAATGTTGATTAACAATTTATCTAAAAATTATGATTATAAAAAATTATAAAAAATTGTAAAAATTGTAAATTTATAAATAAATTGTCACCAATCACAGCCAATCGCAATCACGTTAGTCATTAATTAATTAAAATTGCTTACTCCATCCTGGACGCATGGTCTGCCAAAACCCTTTCTTTAATTCAACTCCTCCCGGCAAAAATGTTTTATTGCTTTGTGATGGTTCTGGAAATATTGCTTTTTTACCATATGATAAAAATTGGGTTCGAACTTTGGCATTTAGAAATGCATTGAGAACAATATATATAGTTTGAATACTAGAATCCCATGGTTGATTTGATCCAACTTTAATATATTCTTTCATCTCCGCCAGATCAAATGGTCGCGAATATTTTAAGTACGCAGTATATTTTTTCGGGCGACCCGCATCTCCTGCTCCTGGTAACATAATCTATAAATATTATATTAAAATATTAATATGAAATATCATGTGATAAATATGTGATATAATAAATGTGATAAATATGATAAATGTGATAAGGATGAATGAGAACATGTGATCAAGAACATTTACATCTATTCTTCTGCTATTAGTACCACCACTAATAAGATCATTAAGGGAATACACAATATTTCCATCAAATGCTGCATACGCTTTGGGACCAAATTTCTTTTCCTTTAACATTTGCAAAAATACTTCATCTGAAACTTTTTTATTGGCTTTCATTCGATTCTGATTTAAAATCTCTAAAGTATAAGATTTAATAGTAGGAAATCCGAACTAAAATAATAAAAAATATTAAATAAAAATAAAAAATTCATAATATATATATCAGTATAAAGATTAAAGATTAGATATAATTCTAATCGTAAAGTATAATAAATTAAATCAATTGATAATTAGTATTTTTTATTAAACCTTTTTAACTTCTAAAAAATTGGCCATTATTTCGAAAGGAACCCCAGCTTTTCCTTCTTCCTTGGGCCTTGGACTTGGTGCAGGTGCAATTTGTTGACTCATAACGTATTATAAAACTATTTTATATCAATAAAATAAAAAATCAAAATGAATTATAGAAATAACATTAATTCTTTTTTTTTTGAATTTTCAAACTTTTTTTTTTCGTAAAAATAACTACTTTTTTTAAATAAAGAATATTTCAAGATATTGAAGATTTTTTCATTTTGATAATTATTTATTTATAAAAATATCCAATAAAAAATATGCGTTCATTTGAATAAACCGACCAAATAGAGATATATACGTGTCGTTATATTTTATTATAGCTTTGACTTCCCTTTATTGGTTTTTCTTTTTCTTTGTTTTTCCGTAAAAAAGACAATGTTAATCGATCACAGTAATTTTTCGGAAAAATTTAATTGTGGCTTTCAGTTACCACATGATCGATTGATCGAAATCAAATCTGTATTTAATGTTTTTTAACACGTGTTTATAAATTTTAAATAAATAGATAGGTAATCAATTGCTGTATATATATATATAATTCCCGAATTCAGCTATTGAATTCCTCCCGTTTTGTTTCTTTTATTTCCTCAGTAGGGTTAATTTCTATTATAGTCGCATCTCCTCTTTTCTTGGCGTTTTTTAATGCTTTATTTGTTACAATCCCAAAGAAATTATTGTTTATGATATATCTGAGACATTGTAAAATTATGTTCTTTTCTTGTACTCTCTCTTTATACAATAACTACAAAATTCATAAATTAATATTAATAAGTATTTAATTTCCGAATTAAAATATTTATAAGCAAATTAATATTAATATCAAGTATTAAATTAATTAAATTAAAGATGTAATAACCCGACATCATGTGATCTTGAGAACTTTTTAATGAACTTTTTAATTAAGAAAGTAAATTTTTTCCTTTTTCAATTTTTGTACGAATAAGGTTTAAGGTCAAGTGATTCTATGGCTATGTTAATTAAAAGTAAAAGTTACCATATCACGAAGATTTTTTGTACGAACTCTTTGCCAATCAGGTGGGCGAAGGAGAGGTGGACAAATCTAAATATTTTATTTAAAGAGAAAAATGAAATAAAAGAACATAGAATGTTTGCAAAAAACGAATATTATATATAATTGTAAATAAATACCATTGTTCCCTCGTGTCGATTTCCACAATCTTTTCCGCTTGGACAGTGACCTGGTAAATACTTAATACATACTCTGTCATAAAATTTTTCGGCTATTCTCTTGATACGAGGAGTTGGACGATAATCATTTTTGTAAATTTTGTTATTGAAATTTGAATTTTGAGCATATTCAACATCCGCATTAGAAATAGAATTATCCATTTTGGCAACAACAGAAGAATTATCCACAACAGAAGAATTATCCACATCAGAAGAATTATTCACATCAGCATCGGCAGTAGCCGAAGCAGCAGCGATTTCTAGATCGGTGAGTCCACCACTTACTAATACTTTATTTACTTTATTGGATTCATTTGATCTGAGACGTCCATTATTATTATTATTATTATTATTATTATTATTATTATTATTATTATTATTAAAATGTTTAAACTTTTTATTTCTGTAATCATCTTGTTCCCGATCATATTGTTTTCTTTTTCTATATTCATTTTTGATTACTTCTCCACGAGCAATTCGGTCAGCCTCGGCTTGTTTCTTTGATTTTATTTAATTTATTATCCAAAAAATAATCAATTAAATAATCAAAAAATGATCAATTAAGTAGTCAATAAATAATCAATAAATAATCAATATATATATATATATCAATAAATAATAAATAAAGATATTGTACCTTCTTTGCAATATTCACATCAGTTGGATATCTTTTCTTTCTTTCTTCAATCCATTTCATTAAAGCCTCAGGTGTATCAAGTTTAAAGTCTAATACAGGTTTAAGAGTTCTAAAAATATAATACAAATTAAAAAACATAAATTAGAAATACAAAATTAATTATTAGGTAAATTGCATTCAATTTAAATAAGATCTACATACGATTCGTCGTTACAGAACGGCTTGGAAAGAATTTTATTATAATTGTTGGGTATCCTCGGTGGGTAGTTTGAAAACTGAACACCTTGATCTATTGTATTTACCGTTACATTTTCTATAGCTGTTATGCCATTTATTGATGTATTGGGTCCCGTTTCGTTATTTATGAAACGAGTCGAGTAAACCGAGTGCCTATTATTAAACGGAAATCTTCCACGACTACTACCACGTCCTAATCCTCTCCCTCTTCCAAATGGTTGCTCATAAGGGTTATTATTTTGTAAAAATGAATTAGAAGGTGTTGGAGGTGGTGGCGGTAAACTATAACTACCCGGAATTAATTTTTTTTGTTGAAATGACATTATAAATATATTTATTTATTTTTATTAAATAATAATGATAATATAGAGATAGATTTTTTGTTAAAATTTTTATTCAAATATTCAAGATGAGATGCAGTTTTCATTATAATTTGATTTAATTTGACCAGAATTATAAAAAATTTTACGTCATAGCTTTGGCCGAATATTAAAATGATTATCATGATTTTCATGATTTACGATCTTTTTTATCGATTAATTATTTGAATTAATAAATTAAATAAATTAAATTAAATAAATTAATTAATTAAATATGATAACAAATAAATAATAAATAAATAAATAAATAAATTTAATAATATAATATTCTTTATAAAGAAAAATTCGAAGGTGGCAAAACTTTCGTTGGATGCGGTACTAAAGCACAAGATATATCACCCCACCATATATCACAATTTTCTTTATACCATGCAACTGTTCATTTTTTATATTGTTTGTGAAAGAATTGATGAAAAATAGTCAGTCAAGAAAATTCAGTTTTATCTAGTACAAAAATATATAATAAAATATATGAGGAGATAACCTACTTGTTTTTTTTAATCCTTCTTCCCATTTCATACGAGGTTTCCATCCTAATTCTTTTAATTTACGATAATCTACCGCGTATCTTCTATCATTAAATGCACGATCTTGCACAAACTCAATATGAGATTCTTCTTTATATCCAAATTTTCGTATTAATTCTTTAGCAAAATCAAGATTAGAAATTTCAAAATTTGACCCAATATTATATATTTCACCAATTTGGCCTAAGTTTAAAATTAGATCTAATGCATCTGCCGCATCTCCGGCGTATAAGTATTTACGAGAATTTGATCCATCTCCGTGAATATAACTAAAAAAAAAAGGAATATGATGAATTTAAAAAAGAATACAATAATATAATGAATTTAAATTAAAAAAAAAAAAAAAAAAAAGAAATATAAAAAATTGATTTTACCATTTTCCCCCTCGAATTAGGCTACAAATAAATTTCGAACATATTTTCTCGGGATATGCATAAGGACCATAAATATTGTTACTCCTTGTAATAATAACTGGTAAACCAAATGATTTATGATATGCCATTACAAGACATTCCGCTGCAACTTTTGTAGCTGAATAAGGATTTGATGGTGCAAATATAGATTCTTCATGACAATCTGGCTAATTTCCATAAAAAAAAAAAATATTAAATTTATTTTTATTTATTGAATAAATAAAATAATTGAATTGAAAAATTCACTTAAATTAAAAATAATTGAATTTTTACTTACACTTGTTTTTTCAACTTCACCATAAACTTCATCAGTACTAACATGAACAAATCTTTTGATTCCATGTTCTTTGGCAGCTTCTAACAGAACGTGAGTTCCAATGATATTATTTTTGGTAAATTCAAAAGAATTACCAAATGAATTATCCACGCTAGTTTGCGCAGCAAGATGAAAAATTGTGTCAATTTTCTTTTCTCGCATAATAAACGACATAAGATCTGATGATGTTATGTCACCCTTTTTTTAATAGTGATAATAATTGATAATGAATATTAATTAATTTTAATTAAAATTTTTTTTTTAATTATTTTCTCTCACCTTTATAAAAGTATAATTGGGATGATTTTTTATTACATTTAAATTATTTAAGCTTCCACAATAATCTAATTTATCCACTACAACTATATTATATTCTGGATATAGAACAACAAGTTTTCTGACTAAAAAGCCACCTCTACATTATATTTGATATATAATATATAATTAGAAAGATTAATTTTTGAATAAAAATAATTTAATTCGTTATACTGTAATTAAATTTAATGATAAAGAGATATTAAAAGATATTATTTTCTTACAGGAAGCCTGCTCCACCTGTAACCATCAAATTCTTGATTTCAGGATTATTGGGTTCAACTCTTGTCCCAATGTCTTCAAGAACTTCTGCGGGAATATGTTTGATCAACCCATTAACTAAATTTTTTTTATTAACAACATTATTCAAATAATTTAGGTGTCCATTCGTATTTTTTTGTTGTTGGTGGTTAGTGTGAAAAGGTGGTGTTATGTGATGGTCTAAAGAAGCTTTCTGTGAAGACATTTAATTAATGGTAAAAATAGCGAATATCCTTATTGTGTAATTTTCCATATAAAAGACCCGGGTATAATTATACCCCACCCATGGGGAGGTAGTTTACACGGAAAAGAATATTATAGCAACATAAATTTACTATTTAAAGGTACAATAAATTTACTATTTAAAGGTACAATAAATTTATTATTTAAAAGTACAATGGACATTGTCCTATAAGACACATGTACGCATTGGAAATTTATATATTTTTAGGGAGTATTTTTTTATTTGTTATATTATTTAGGAAAATGACCAATTTGTAATTAGTATGGAAAAATTGAAAATGGTCAAAAACAGATCTGCAATTTTATTTTATTTATAAAAATAATAATAATAAAATAATAATAATAAAATAATAATAATAATAAATTGATAAATTAAGATTATTCATCATCTATAATCTGTTCACCTACATCCATTGTATTATTAATGTTGTGAGAATGAGAACTTTCCCCATTCTTTTCAATTTTTTCAATATTCTCCATATAAAATAAATCATTATCATCATCCTCCCCATGATAAAATTCATCCTCACAGTTATCATCATCATTATTATTGTCACGGTATTCCAAAGATAAATCTTCTTCGTCTCGGGTTATATAATCTTCCTTTAATCTCTGTCGAATTTGTAAACCTATGATTAATTTTTTCCATCGAGAAAATGCTTCTTTAGATTTTTTCTCTCTATTTATCTCTTCAATACGTTTCTTATGTTCAGTCCACGCCTAATTAACAAAATTAATATTTGAGTTGAAGAATTTGAAGTGAATTTTGTGAATTAGCAAAATAAATAATTTTAAATGATTTTAAATAATTTTAAATAATTCAGATGAAAAATTTACTTCGGTCAATAATTCAGCATATTCTTCTGCTACAATGATTCCATTTAATACTGGAATACATCTTTGTGATACGAATTCAAATCCAACCTTTGAAAAAAAAAAAGAGATTTTAATAATTTAAATGTTTATAAAGTGAAATTGATAATCAATTATAAAAAAAGTTAGTTCTTCTTACCACCGCTATACCATAATCAAAACCAAAATTTTTAGCCATAGTCCAAATTCCATTATCTAAGAATTAAGTAAATTATTAAATTATTTAATTATAATTTTACTATTATTATTATTATTATTTAAAAAAATAATTGAACTTACATGGAAGATGAACACCGCCAGGTGGACACATAGAAGGTTTAAATAGATAAACATTTCCGTACTTATTTTTGGGGATGATTCCCTATTAAATTAATACAATGCAATTAATTCAATTAATTCAATTAATGCAAGTAAATTTATTATATGAAACAATTAAAATATATTCATACATCTATGACAGGTTCCGATTTGTATTCTTCGGTCTGCCATTCTCCGTATAAACCAGATTCTGGTACATTTCCTTCTCCAGATAATGACATATTTGAAAGTCTTCTTTTTGTTAAAGTATATGCACGAGATTTTACGTACTTGACTGGTTGTTCTCCCTCCTGATTTGATTATGAAATTGAGTTGGTATAAGTATTATATATATATATATATATATATATATCAAATATACATATATTACCTTTACTTGTCGACCTTCCTTCAACCAAGTTTCGGCAGTGTGCAACTAATAATGGATAATGTGGGGTGATATTGATGAAACACAAATTAATTCTCGAAAGGATTATGCCAACTGCAAACATTCGCGATCACAGCAACCCAATCCACAACAGAATATCATGTTGAGGAACTTAGAACTGCAACAGCGGAAAGAGAAATTAGATTTAAAGTTTATTTAATTACCTGCTTGACATTGTTACGTCGATAGATTGGTTCACCACGAATATGTCCAAGTATTTTATCTTTGGGAAAAATTATTTCGAACTTTTTTAAATGTCGTTCGAGTGCATACCTTAATTAACAAAAAAAAAAAATATATTTTAAATATTTTATCGATATAGTGATTAACATTTTTATTATAATAATTTTATTACATACAATGGATGGTTATGAAAGGCATTAATTGTGGTGGGAATACGTTCAGAAATTTCCATTGAAACTAAACTCGCATCTTCAAATTTATCTTGTTCCTATATAAAAATATAATCAACGATAAAATATTAACAATTAATATATATATATATATATATATATATATATGTATATAATATATTTGATTATTTTACTTACCCTTTCGTAGGGACGCGCATAATATGCTAATACTTCATCCCACCAATTAGAACCATCTTTATTGTTTGGTATTCTTAATTTACGCGTTCGCGCTCCCCATTGAGATGTATATCGACGAGTCACATCTTTGATATAACCATCTATTATTTGTAAACAAATACGACGCGTTTATAAAATAATAAAATAAAATAAAATAGATTACATAATTACGCGATTTTCATATTTGATTATTTAAAAAAACATTTTATTACCTTGTTCATATGCAACCACATATGCCATAACATTATTTTTGTCATTGTTTAAAGGTTCGAGAGTTTTTGGTCTGCTCACAATTGCACGAATTGGATCAACGCACATCCATTTTTGGAGAACTGAAAAATATACTTCACACCAGAATATTGGAGGAGAATCCGGATCATCGATAACTTATAAATAATTAAAAAAAAAAATGTAAAATATAAAATATATATATAAACATATAAAAATATATTGTAAAAAATATTGTGAAAATATTGTGAAAATAATATAAAACTAAATACATACATGAACTGTTAAGTTGTGACTTTCGTGAATTACTTGCTGCCTTTTTTAAATAAGGGATATATTCATCATCATCACCTTCTCGATCTTTCCTTTTTCTAATACTATTATTCTTGTTTTGGGTTGATAATTTATATCTCCCTAATCCAAGCATTCTTTGAATGTTATCCTCATTATCATTATTATCATCATCATTTTTACCAGAATTACCATTGTTGTTGGTCGATTTCATTTTAAATGAGACGACCTGTAAAGAACATATCAATCGAGCTGGGATCCCAAAAGATCTTAACAGTGCCACAAATAATTGAGAAGATGTATCACGACTTCCTTCTCCCATTTTAAGACTTCTACGAAATGATTTTATCGATGTGTGAATTTCGCAAAAGTTTTCGTCATACTACATGATATAATTTTTTATGTGTATCAGAAATCATCGTATTTTACCGAATCTCTATGTAAATACAATAAATATAATGTAAATATATTACTTTATCAATACCATCAACGCCAAATTCGTCATATTCACGATATCGTAATCCAGGTTTTGAAATTATAAAGTATTTTTTCCACCAATTACATAGTTCTTTTAATGTGGTGATTAATAATTGACCACGAGTACTGTCCTTTGGTCGGAGAGCTTTATCAACAAGACTTAACATGTCACGTTCAATCAATGAGCATGCCATCGCCTAAAGATTTAGAAAAATAATTATGATTTTTTACTATGATATTATAATAATATATTATTGTTGTTGTTGTTGTTGTTGTTATTATTATTTATGAAAAAAAAAAATACCTGTGTTATGGGATCATCACACCATCGATTTCGAATTATCCCATGGGCGAGTAAAGTTAGCAAATGAGTTTTATGAAGATTTTGTCGAATAACTCGTTCAATTTTGGTTATTCCTCGAGGTCTATATAAGAAAAAAAAATAATAATAAGAATTTAAAATAATAATGATAAAGATGAATAAGATGAACAACATTACATTTAAATAAGATTCTTACTTATATTTTATTTTGGGAGCCGAAAAGGTTATTTTAATTACTTCATTTGAATCATCATTTAAATCGTCATTAATTTGCGAATCGATTGATTCGATTGATTGCGAACCTGTTGAAAATTTTTTATTGAATTTATTGAATTTATTGAATTTTATAAATAATTCGAACCAAAATTCTTAAACTTACTTACTTTGAAAACTTTGAAAACTTTGAAAACTTTGATATTGTGATAAATCAACTTCTTCCCAAATTTCTTCGTCGTCTTCATCTTCTATTTCATCATTGGGTTCATTTGCTTTTCCTTTATCAGCATTACTTTGTAACCATTCAGAATCAATAGATTCTAGTAAACTTTCAGTCCCGTCAGAGTGTTGAATAACTTTTTGTCTGGCGGTTGTTGATTTTTCATTATCATTATATTTTGCTTTGCCTTTCCCTTTATTTCTCTTGATAAATTTTTTTGGTCTTTCCTCTTCGTCTTCCTCCTCTTCTTCTTCTTCTTCCTCTTCAAAAGATTGTTGTTGCTTTTCTTGTTCGTTTTCCTTTATTTTTTGTTTCTCTGCAATACGAGTAGATCTCCGAAGCGTCACAGTTTCATTTCTTACCAGTTTTTTTCGGTTTTTTCTTAAAGGTTCACGGTTGGATATTTCTTGAATTATCATTGAGTCATTTGAAGAAGCTTTCTTTAATATTTTATCAGTTTCTTTCAACTCAGTTACTTCTTTATCACTGGTGTCAGCCTCTTTTGATTTTTGCTTTGAAGCGCTTCGGGCCGAACTTCGGAGTGTCATTTCGCAAATATTTGTGAATGTATATTACGTACATTCCAATAAAAAAAAAAAATGAATTATATCTGGCGCAGAAGTAACTTTACTTTGCCACATGTTTTAATCTAAACTTTAATCCCAATATGGTATATTTTTTTCATTGTCTTAGCCAAGCAAAGCTTCATCACATGACTTGTTCGCATATGAAGTGTGTAATTATTATATACTAGCAAAATAAATGATATATTTCTAAATAAAGAAATAAAGAACTTAAATTTGCTTTTCCACGTGTAAAAAGATTGGACACTTACGATACTTACTTATGCTTAACAAAAACTTATTATGATAAATAAATAAAAATTTTAATTTTAGAAACATTTGTAAAGACGTAACGCACCGTATTTTTGAAAAAAATTTTAAAATTCTACACTATAATATAAGTGAACCAAAAATGTCTATTATATGTAAAAAATGCAAACAAGAATATAATCGTAGTGATTGGTGTAAACCGTGCAATTTAACACGCTTCAAAAAGAATTTAAGAAATGGACGAGTGGAAATGATACAATCGATAAACTTATTCAAGATTCTCAACTAAATTCAGATTATGATAAAACAATAGAATGGATACCTTATGATAGATTTGAAAATATTAAAGAAATAGCAAAAGGTGGTTTTAGTACTATTTATTTGATGGACAAATTGATGAATGGGATATTAAAAATAAACGATGGGAAAGAAATGGTCAACAAGAAGTGGTATTAAAAAAGTTTGATGATATTGAAAAAATGAATAAACATTTCTTAAATAATATTCTAATTTAATTTGAAACTTTATTTGAAAATGTATAATAATTAAAAAAATAAATTATTTAGATGTCCATTCAATGGATTTAGCTTCACGAATCAGATTTTATGTTTTGAATTATCTAAAAGGAGAAATTATTTTAATACTAATTTTAATAATATTGGTTGGTCTGATAAATTATCTTATTTAAGACAGTTAGCAAAAAGTTTTACAGACATTCATGAATTAAATATAGTACATCACGATTTCCATCCTGAATCATTAAGTATTTATATTTCAGATTTTGGGTTAAGTAAATTAATTGGAAAAAATGTAGAAATCCCAAAAAAAGAAATGTTTTTGGAGTATTGCCATATATAGCTCCTGAAGTATTATGTGGGGAAGAATATACAAAGGCTGCAGATGTTTATTCATTTTCAATCATTGCTTACGAAATTATTACTGGTATTCTGATGTGGCACATGATGATGAGTTAGCTTTGAAAATGTGTAATGGATTACGACCGAAAATTCCATTTCACACTCCTAAATTGATTACACGAATGATTATGCGATGTTGGGATGCTTGCTTGAGCTACTCATCGACCAACTTTTAAAGAATTACGTGAAGAATTGTTATAATTATCTTGAAGAAACTGGTGAAATTACAATTCAAATTCAAATGGAAAGATTTTCTAAAAATATAAAAAGAGCAGATACAAAAACTACAACTCCAATTAATTATAAAACACACCCGCAAGAAATTTATATTAGTAGACTTCTCGATTTTTCAAATCTTCAAAAACCTGTAAATGAACCAAATTTTGAAAAAGAACTTAAAGAATTAACAGAATCTTTTCTCATATAATTACTAGTAAATATCAATTATATATTTATTTTATTTATTTTTCATTTATAACTAGAAATTTTTGGATATGGCGACTTTGTCGCCGCCATGTGATTGAGATTTATACATATAATTGGTTGTATAATTTATTAATGTTCAAATACAATTAAAGTAAAATTAAAATAAAAATTATA